GCAAACCACACTCAACACATGCGCAATGCACTTCCAGCCTTAGTACTTGAGACTGTAGCTGCATGGGGATTCAATGGGTTTTTGCGCAGGTGAAGCTGAGGGTCAGCGAGGGCGCAGGGGGTAGAAGGGCCTGCATGCATGCAAGCCCTGCAGTCTGCATTGATCCCTGCAATCCACATCGGAAGGAAAGGACCCATTGATGTGCTGACCTCTGACCTCCACATTTACATCATAGCCTGTGCATCCCTCCCATCATATGTGTACATTTGTAATAACAATGATAAGTAATAATAATTACTAATTTAAGAGAACAAGAAAGTTAAAGGTAAAATGAGGTCATTAGAGTAGGTACTAATTCAGTGTTTCTGATGTTCTTATAATAAGAGTGTTTTCAGACATGTACGGAGAGAAGGTGGTTACCTGCAAACCAAGGGGAGAGGCCTTGGGAGAAACCTAACCTCCTTACACCTTTGCCTTGGATTTCTAGTCTTGTTTAAGCCTCCCAGTCTGTGATAATTTGTTACGACAGCTTGTATTCAGGTTCTCTAGAGGAAAAGCATTTATAGAATGAATCCTCTCTCTCTCCCCCAATATATACACACACACACACACACACACACATACACACATACATACACACATATATGTATATATATGATTTATTAGAATGTTTTACAGGCTGTGGTCTAGGTAGTTCAACAATGGCTGTCTACTAACAGAAGGTCCAAGAATCCAGTAGTTGTTCAGTCCACGAGGCTGGATGTCTCAGCTGGTCTTCAGTACACGCCAGAATCCTGGAGAAGTAGAATCTAATGCCAGTGAAGGGATGGACTTGGCAGTGAGAGTGAGGGCAAGCAGGCAGAGAGAGAGCAAGCTTTCTTCTTCCATGTCCTTTAGACTGCTCACAGAAGGTGTGGCCCAGATTAAAGGTGGATCTTCACACCTCAGAGATCCAGACTATAAGTGGGTCTTCCCATTTCAAATGATTTAATTCGGAAAAAAAAAAATCCTTCACAGGTGTGTCCAGCCATTTGGGTTTTAGTTAATTCCAGATGTCATCAAATTGACAGCCAAGAATAGCCAGCCATCACTCAGCCCTAGTAAACTAATAATATGCTTGATCCCAAAGGCAATAACAAGGTCATACATTTGACATTGGTACAGCTTCCTTGTAAGCAGCATAATAATCCTTTCTTTTTTCCAGAATAGGATGCATAATATGTGATTTCCAGAATAGGATGCATAATATGTGAGTGATGTTCATGCTTGTAACTTCACCACTGACACAGAGTTACCAATGGCTTTAAATATGTGAGGTTAGTATATCTTACATTATAAGCCAGTGAGAGGGAAGAAATCAAACTTACTTGATTTGCACATGGACATGCTCAAAATATAGTTCCCTGTAACTTCATAGTCACAGCACACATATATTTGTATCTTCTAGTACATCCATTTTATATTGTTTACTCTCTGCAAGCATCTGGTCTGGTTACGGTGTTTGGATTGTGCTACTGTACATTAACATTAATTATGAGAAATAGTAATACAAAGAGATTAATAAGGGTTTCCTATACTTTGGATGTAGCCTTTCTTACCTTCATTGTAGACCACCAGTGTGATGTCTTTGTAGTAACTGAAATCAGTTGTTTCAGAGGCACTGATACTCCAAGATGGCTAGGGTGTAATTTCAATCTCTAGTCACGTGAGATCATTATTGTGTCTCCCAAATGTAGCCTTCCTCCCTTTGGAAATAGCACCTCGAGAAGTATGTATCCTAACTAATGGAGAAGCAGTATTGTATAGTAGAATTCTTTTTCAGAATATGTAAGCTTTTGGTGAGCAATGCTCCAGGAAGATATTGCTGCCTGCCTAATTGGTGAATAGAAAGCCATATTCCTGATCCCAATTCCATCCTTGCCACCATGACCACTTTGTTCATGAATTTATTGGGCAAACAGGAATGCCTGGGGGAAAGACTCCCTGACATCACAGAATGGGCCGCTATCCATTTGCTCATTAAATTCTCCCACTGTTGAGGTCACCCTTGGATGAAACATTCATGTGAGACCCAGTTGTCATCATTGTCAAGGCTAGTTAGGACTTCAGGCTTTCTGGTCTACATAGTGTCTTGTGCTACTTATTTTTGTCCTCCTATTCACTACTTCTGTTTTTCCTTTATAACCCTTTAGAACTATAAAGATAATTTCTAGATTATGTGCTATGGTTTAATCACATGCCCTGTACCCTTGAATTAAAAGTTTAAATATATAAGGTTCAGTTACATGAAGTTTTTGTGAGCTTGTGTGTGTATTGTCTTTCTGTGTGTGTATGTACATGTGTGCATTTGTGTGTGTAGGCCAGAGATTGACACTGGGTAGTTTCCTCTAAGTGTCTCCCACTGAACCTGGAGCTCACTGGTTTGGCCCAATTGGCTAGTCAGTAAGCCTTAGGGATCCCTCTGTCTCTCTCTTCCCAGTAATTAGAATTACATGCACATGCCACCAAGCATGCCCTTTTTGGGGGGAGGGGGGTTTCAAGACAGGGTTTCTCTGTAGCTTTGGAGCCTGTCCTGGACTAGCTCTGTAGACCAGGCTGGCCTCGAACTCACAGAGATCCACCTACCTCTGCCTCCCGAGTGCTGGGATTACAGGCATGCACCACCACTGCCCGGCCTAAGCATGCCTTTTATCATGGGTTTGGGGATACACTTCAGGTCCTCATGCTGTATGTCAAGGGCTTTATGAGCGAGTCTTCTCCCTGCTCTAAGTGAGAATTACATTGGGAAGAATACACACTTGATTTTTAGGCAGGGTTAAAGAAGGATGGATTCTGGAACTTCTCAGGCTTCTATAACTCACTTCATCATAGCTTTCATCTTTCTACCCGCTTTGTTGGATGGCAAGACATTTTCAGGGGAGGTATTACTTTCATTTGGAGTCCATAATTAAAAAAAAAAAAAGGTTAGTGTCAGCAATATTTATTTTATGCTGTTCTTTAGATGTTTGAAATGTCATTGAGAAAAGGAAAAGGATAATTACACCTACTCCAGTAAGTTAAATGAAGAAAAGTCACCCAATGCTTTTTTTAAATTCCTCTTCTGTCTACATAGTGGCATTTGGAATGTGCAGGATTTAGTTATGAAGTTGCCACAGATTGGCTGAGACATTGAATAGTTCTGTTTGCTTTCAAAGAGGTCTTCTCATTATGAAGACCTATATTTTTCCAGTGCAGGAAGTTTCTTCTTCTTTTGTTAATTACTTCTTCCTTGTATTGTTTATTAACTGTTGGAGTTGGGTTTTCTGTCTTGTTTTTCTTGTTAATGTATCCCAGGGTGGCCTCTTAACTCTTAGTGATCCTCCTGTCTCAGTCTCCTGAGTACTAAGAATAGAGGTACCCATGTACCACACCTGGATCACGATAGAGTCGTCATTAGGCAAATATTGAACCTCTGTGCTTCTTGGTTTCCATCTGCTGTCTCCAAATCCTGTTTATTTGCACGTCTGTACATATCCTATTTTACCAACTGTATTCCCAAGACCACCAGGTCAACTTCAGGCTATCCATTCACCGTTTTTTGTATTTTAGTTAGTCTACCTGTTTTATATTTATATATAAAATATTATTTTGAAGGGATGCCTAAGTCTTAGTTCTAGTCAGTATGTGATTAGTGAATAAAATAGTTCTTCTTTATTACATTGGCATAAACAGAACTATGTTAAAATACAACATGTAAAAAACCAGAAGATATCCTTGGTTTTTGTTTTCTTGAGGTAGAATTTGATGGAGCCTCATCACTCTTCTTGCCTCTGCTTCCCAGATGTTGGGCAGTTGCTTTTTTTTTTTTTTGAGACAAGGTTTCTCTGTGTAGCTTTATGCCTTTCCTGGAACTCACTCCATAGCCCAGGCTGGCCTCACACAAAGCCAAGAAGAATGGACAGCTGAATTAAAAAAAAATCAACAATTTCCAGAATTTAAAATCCTGAATCATGACATGACACTAGTGGAATTCAGGTGTTTCTGGTACATAGACTGCTCTCACCCAATGTGAGGTTGAACTGTTGACCTTGTGTACATCCTACTTCACAAATGCGTCTGTCAGATACACTAAGCCTGTAGGCTAAAGATGATGCCCCAACACTGCGGAGAAACCTCAGGTGACTGTCCAGGCAGCTGGCTGTTTCTGGCTATTTTTTATTAGGTAATATTATTTTCCTTCTTGGATCTCTGAGGGAGTTGAAGATTAGTTAGTTATAGTTGAAGATTAGTTAGGATATAAAGTGAATTAGGTACATTTTGGACTTACCAAAATAGGATAGATAATAGAATTATTTTCTCTGAATTTGTCAAATACAAATGGACTAGACATTGTTTAGGTATTTATTGTATATATGGTATATAATTATTGTACTTTTGTATATTGTTTTTCTATATCCGCCTGCCTCTGCCTCCTGAGCACTGGGATTAAAGGTATGGGCCACCACCGCCTGGCTCAGTTGCATTTTTTTTTTAAAGCTTGCCTTTAGGTATTTCTTTTCACCTGAGATAAATTTTCTGTTTCATTTTTCTTCGAACTTTTATTCTTTTTAAAAACATGTATGATTATTATTTTATTATTTTATGTTTATGGGTGTTTTGCTTACATGTATGTCTGTCACTACATGTGTGCAGTGACCATGGAGGCCCAAAGAGGGTGTTGGGTCCCCTGGAACTGGAGTAATAGATGGCTGTTGGCTGCCAAGTGGATGCTGGGAATTGAACTCAGGTGCCCTGCAAGAGCAGCAAGTGTTTTTAACCACTGAGCCATCTAATTAATAACTAGGATTAATTCTTAAAGCAAAAACAACAACAACAAAAACTTTGTCAAAATCTGTTTTTTTTTGTTTAATTTTCCAGTAACCTTAGTATAAAATGTTTTCGCCTTCTACTATAATTAATGTTTATTTTCTACTTGCCTTAATTGTTAACCAGTCCTAATACATACAATTTTCTTTTTCTAGGCTTTCCAGACTTCTAGAATGGCTAAGCGTTAATGGAGGGAGAAGCATAAGTCGACCTTCCACTATGGAGGCAGGCTTGGCAGACGGCGGAGACCCTGACAGAGCATCGGTGAGTAGTTTAAAGCAGTACAGTAAGGACGCGTCACCTACAGCTGTGGAGTGCGCGATGTGAGCCGTACTTCATTCTTGACAACTCACTGAGAGCAAAGGCTTGTTTATTTGGTTGCCTGGTTTGGGTTATTTTTGAGACAGTTTCACTATGCAGCCCTAGCAGGCCAGGAACTCACTCTGTGGACCAGGCTGGCCTTGAATTACAGAGGTCTGCCTCCTCTGCCTCCCCAGTGCTGGGATTAAAGGCAAGTGTCACATGCCTTGCAAAAGCAAATTACTTGAAGTACTTTAAAAATCATACTTTAACTGCCACATTGTTACGAGAATTACAGATTGTTTACAGGTTCTTGGAGCAGAACCCTGTCAAATTTCTGGTATTTCTGTTTCAGATCCTTCACTTCTCTGTTCCATCCCAGTTATATTGTCTCAGACTGATGTAATAGTTTGTATTTGCTTTCTCAAACTCTTTTTGGATCTTAGTAAAATCAAGAGACTATTATTTGTTAAGAAAATTAAATACCTCTAAATCTCAAATTGAGTGCAGCTCTGAGCAAGGAGAGTGAATGAAACATTTAAAGTAATAAAGAATTAAAAGCAACTGCACTGTATAGTGTATGGAAAATTGAAAGTTTAATCAACAATGCTTCCTGAATTAGATTCTGAAATTAAAGTAAATGTGGATAGCAGGGAAAGTATATACTATCCAATAATTAAAAAACTTACCCCGGTATAGAATAAGTAGATGCTATGTTATTGTAAGATAAAGGCTTTACTCCAGAATAATCATTTTAGCTCTTATATTTGAGTGATTCTATTAAATACTGATTTACAGAATTTTTGTTAGCAGTGTTGCTCTTACCCAAAGTAAAGGTCTCCTCTATGAAATGTCAGGGGTTCGTTTATTTGTGAATGGGCTCTTGGTGGTGGTGATGATGGAACTGGCATTCTTCCACTAAGCTAAAGCATCATCCAAACACGTTTTCTTAAAGAAAATCCCTGCAGGAGCAAGGCAGTGGCCAGCTTCCTGTCTATGATTTTACTACGGAGATGAGTTACTATTTCATCAAGGTGATTGTAAATTTTAATTGAGTGGATGTCCTTTGTTCAGGCCCCAGTGTAGGGACAGTGTAGTAATTAATAGCAACATGCAGTCTTATTGAGTTGGATTAACTTGATTCAAACCTTTTTTGAATTTCTCATTCAGATTTCTTTTGGTTCCTTAAACATTAAAAAAAAAGTTAAACTTAAAAGTGATCACTTGTTAATAGGGAATAAAATGAGCTTGGAAATAATGTAGTTTATACAGGGCATGGTAGCTGGCTAGAAATGGGCAGCTGATGGTTATTTTATTTTTACTGTGATTTCAGAAAAAGTTAAAACTAAACCTTGTATTATTACTTGACCGTAATCATCTTTAGAAAAGCTGTTTCACTGTTCTTATGGCTGAAATGTCCTTGATGCCTTAGTGATAATAAAAATTGTCAATAATAGACTTGGGATATAGTGGGCCCAGGCCCACTGTGGGTAGCGCCATTCCCTGAGCAGGTAGTCCTCAGCTGCATAAGAAAGAATGAGCTTAAGCGAGCTACCATGCAGCATTCTTCCATGGTTTCTGCTGCACTCCTTGGCTGTGAATGAGTTCCTGCCTTGAGTTCTTTCCTTAAGAATGGACAGTGGCTGGGTGGTGGTGGCTCACGCCTTTAATCCCAGCACTCAGGAGACAGAGCCAAGCGGATCTCTGTGAGTTCGAGGCCAGCCTGGTCTACAGAGTGAGATCCAGGAAAAGCGCAAAGCTATGCAGAGAAACCCTGTCTCGGGTGTGTGTGTGTGGGGGGGAGAATGGACAATGACCTGAAAGTATAGGCCAAATAAATCCTTTCCTCCCTCAAGTTGTTTGTTCAGAGTCTTTTATCACAGCAACAGAAAGGAAACTAAATATGAACTACATAGTATTAAATTCTGTGCCAGAAGCAGATGAAACTGCAGTGATTTATTTTTTTTTAATTCTAAATTCTGTTCCCTGAGAAGTTGGAGCAAAGATTTGAAGAAGTAGGGGAAACTGTTTTGTTCCTTTCATTGTTTCTTCTGTGATATATTATAGTTTATTGTAGAGAGACTCAATACTGATAATTTCAATATGAACTACAGAAATGTGAATTTCAACCTAGTGTTATGGTTCACTTTTGAGTTAACTATTTATAAAATAGCTCCATTGGACTTCGTGCCTTGAGCTAGTTATGTTGACACACAGAAGAGGTAGCTGAGAACTTGGTTCTGAAGACTTGCAGCTAGAAATCTGAGCAGATCTGCCTGTGTTGGGTCCCTCTGCAGTCTCATTGCTCAGCAATCTAAAGCAGAAGGATCATGGATTTGAGGGAAACTTTACCTAGTGAGACCTGTGTCATGAGGAAAATAAGAAAAAGAAAAGAGCTCTGCCATTTAATGTGATGTGGGTAATGAATACAAATTCCCAGGGTTACAGTTTCCCTATGAAATATGTCAAGATGACTGTAATGTCTGCCTTCCAGAGTGATTTTGAGTATTAATTGGAACCAAGACTAATGCTGCACACATTATAAACATCCATTAAGGGGGCTGGAGAGACAACTCAGAGGTTAAGAACACTGTTTTTCCAGAGGTCCTGAGTTCAATTCCCAGCACCCATATGGTGGCTCACAACCATCCGTAATGAGATCTGGTGCCCTCTTCTGGCCTGCAGGGACACATGCAAACAGAACACCATATACATAATAAATAAATAAATCTTTAAAAAAAAAAAAAAAGAGAGTACTTAAAAAAATTCATTTTTTTTAAAAGTATGGCTTTTACTTAAAAAAACTTCTCTCCAAAAAGATCAATAAGAGTCTGTGAAGTCTATTTGCATACATTGGATAGTTGGAAAAATCTTTATTTTTTAAATTTTTATTTTGTGTGTATGGATGTTTGCCTGCACGTATGGCTGTGCACCACATGCATGCCTGGTGTTGTGGAGGCCAGCGGAGTGTACCAGCCCCCCTGGAACTGGAGTTACAGATGGTTGAGAGCCACCAGGTGGGTGTCGGGAATCTAGCCCAGGTCCTCTGGAAGAGCACCTACTTCTCTTAACCACCGAGTTGTCTCTCCAGTCTGGAAAAGCTTGAAGAGAATATTAATTGTGAAAACAGAAGGAAGGGGGCTCTTTGGATTAAAAATGAGCCAGGAGAACGTTTCAGGATGAAATAGGCGAGGATCACTAGGGAATATGTTGTTTAAAGTTGGAGGTAAAAGTGGAATATATCAGGTTGGAATCAGCAGTATTTATGTGGAAAATGATTGCCACAGCAGACAAAGACCAGACATACAGATATGGTGCCCAAACAAGGATTTTGGGACTGGATATTCAGATAATGATAACCCTTGAATTTGGAGAATGAGGAACCCGAAACACATGAAGACCCGAGCTGATGTCAGGTGTCTTTATCCATTGCTCTCCACCTTGTTTTCTGCGACAGGGCCCCTCACTGGATCCCCGTCTCCACTCCCCAAGCAAGCACTGTGGTTACAGATGTGTGCTGCTGTGCTTAGCTTTCACACGGGGCTGAGGGACTGAACTCGGGTTCTCATGCCTACATAGCAAGCCCTTCACCCATTGACCCACTAAAAAAGAAAAACACGATTATGTTTTTAAATGTGTTCCCCAGTCCCGGTTTCTTGAAGTTAGAATTGGTAGAGGATTGCTTAGATTTAGATTTCAGTTTTCTTACCACGAGCGCTTCATAGATGGTTTTGTGTCTTACCGCCAGGAGACTGCAGTGGTAACTTTCTCTCTTCTCGTGGTAATGGGAGTCGTGTCTGTTAACTCAGCTAACTTAGGAAAATGAGGGTTTGAGAAAATGACAATTATAATGAGTTTTAAGCAAGCCGACTAACCAATCACATTTTGTGATGTGTTTGTCGTCTAGACTATTAGTCCTTCTGCTGTTTAAAAACTTTGCTGAGTGTCTCAGTTAGGGGAGGAAAGAGTTTATTTGGCTTGTACTTCTGTATCACTGTTTATCACTGAAGGAAGTCAGGACAGGAACTCAAACTGAGCAGGATCCTGGAGGCAGGAGCTGATGCAGAGGCCATGGAGGGGTGCTGCTTACTGGCTTGCTCATCATGGCTTGCTTATCCTGCTTGCTTTTTCCTTCCCTCCCTCCCCCCTCCCTCCCCTCCTTTCCTCCCCTTCCTCCCCTTCCCTCGCCTCTCCAAGACAGGGTTACTCTGAGTAACAACAGTCCAGCTGTCCTGGATCTCATGCTGTAGACCAAGTTGAACTCACAGAGATCTGCCTGCCTGTCTCCTTGAGTGCTGGGATTAAAGGCATGTACCACTCCTGGCTAAGCCTGTTTTCTAATTGGACCCTGGACCATGAGCCCCAGGGTGGCACCACCCACAATGGTCTCAATCTTCCTCCATCAATCACTAATTAAGAACATGTCTTATAGCCGGATCTTACAGAGGTTTTTTTCTCAAGGTTCCCTCCTTTTCAGATAATTCTAGTTTATGTGTCAAGTTGACATAAGACTAACCAGCACACTGAGGCTACTAAAGGGAAATATTTTTTTAAAAGTGTAGAATAATTTGAAAGGCCTTATATTTTGTGTATCTTTTTAAAACTTGTGAAAACTCAGCCGGGCGTTGGTGGCGCACGCCTTTAATCCCAGCACTCGGGAGGCAGAGCCAGGTGGATCTCTGTGAGTTCGAGGCCAGCCT